ATCTGTGGTTTTTTTTATTTGTAGATTTTTGTAGAAATGTTGTATATAAATTGCATATGTATCTATGGTTTTTAAGCAATGAAATTATATGAGATTATTTGTCTTAATTTTGTAGTTTAATTGTAGATTTGTTGATCTATTTAACATTGTTGTTATATTATATATTTTTGAAGTTATTTTGTAAAAACATACAAATGTATCAGTGCTTTTAATTACTGTATTAATGTTAGATTACATTTGTTGAATTTTGCAGAATGGACATTTTTTTTTTTGCATCCCATAATGTTGATTATGGGGTGCTTAGATTCCAGACATTATGTGACCCTAGCATTCCTAGCCAAATTAAAACGCTTGTCTCCAAATGATTTAAAGTTGTTCAAGAAGACATGCTTTGGTTATTTACTGTCATTTCCCAATTTATGCATGCAAAATCAAGATATTCATTTTCTTATGAAGTATGAATTGAAATCATCTGATGCTTCCTATTTTACAGCTGAGTTAAAAGGTGAGAGGTTAAATTTTGGATTGAGAGAGTTTGTAGTAATAACTGGTCTTAGATGTCATACTGAGGTGACAGACTTTGGTTACACTCCTAGTTATATCAGTAAGATAATGAGCAGTTACTTTCCAAACAAGGTAAAAGTGGAGAAGACATGCCTAAAACAGATAGTAACCACCAAAAGCTGGATCAATTATGAGGATGCAGTCAAGTTATGTATTCTATATCTCATAGAATACTTCATTTGTCCTTCAGAGAAAGACCATATTGGGTTGGTAGATCATTTTAGGTTTTATTTGGTTGAATCCGGTCAGTACGAGTCATTTCCATAGGGTGTTCAGTCTTACAGACAGTTGATTGAATCTGTTAGGCACAGGCTAAATCCTTTCGTTCATTCTTATCTCATTCGAGGATTCCCACTAGCCATGCAAGTATGGTTGTATGAGTGTTGCTCATCCGTCAACATTGATATAGCTACAAAGATTTCTAATTCAATCCCTCGCATACTAAATTGGTCAGCTGCTAAGGGTCAAATTTGGTTAGCTGCAATTGAAGACAAAATGATCAATCCTGAATGGATGAAGGTAAATGGTTTTTATTTATGATAATACAATTTATCTACAAAATATCTACATTTTGTATACATATTCTGCCTTAAACAAGCTAATTTATTTTTTTCATCATTCAGTTCACCAACATAAATGAATCACCTGAAGAGCTTTCAGTGATGTCTTTGCCTGATAAAGTTGAGTACACAATTGAAGAGGTTGAACATGTTTCTGAGAATCCAAAAGTTGATGCTCCTCCATTGGAACCCAAAGAATCAATTGCAAAAGAGGAAAAGGAGTCTATTCTTCGTAAAATAAAAAAGTTAAAAAGAGGTATTGAGAAGGTAACATGTAGTCCTAAAAAGCATTCTGATTTTTATATAATAGTGTATCTGTTTTTTAATACATATTTCTGAAGGTAACTATGTATTTTTTTATTATGTAGGTCGATGAAAAGCTTGAAAAATTTAGGAAAGATTTATTTGAAGAACTAGGTAGCCTTCGAGACCTAATAAAGGATTCAGTCAAGGCTGTTTTGCAGGTGATAAACAATCCAAATGATCAAGTTGATGCAAAGGTAACATTTGATTCTTAATCATATTAACAAAACTATTTATGTCACCTCTAAAATATATATACTAACTAATATAAAACTTACAGTTTGCTGGGAGTTCAACAAAAAATACTAACCAACCAAAAGATAAGAACAATCAACAATTTCAGTTCAATAGTGGTGAAACAGTGCAAGTCAGCCCCAGCAAAATAGGTATCTAAAATATATCTCCAGTATATCTACAATTACATACAAAATAACTATAAATTATCTACAAAATAACTATAATTTGTCTACATTATATATACACAATATATACAATTAAATCCAGCTTATTTACACAGCAATACAGATTTATGTAGATATTATGACACACATTCATATCTTCATAAGTTGTCAAGACAATACTATCCAGTATTATTTAACATTTTTAATGAAAAAAACAGAACATGTTGAATGTGCACATGGTGAAGAAAATCATCCAGCACGTGTTGATTTATATACACATTTTGAAGGGACTGTTGATGAAGAGAATGCAGGTTTGAAATTATTTTCAGAGATATTTTCTTTTTGTTACAATTTTTTTACCATTCTATTAAGTTATATATACATGGTGTTTCAGAGAGGGAAGATATGCATGCACAATCTCCAATTCACGGAGTGATAGTAGCAACTCAAATAGAACAGCAGAATCTAGATGATGACAATGTAGGTGAAAAGGCAGAGTATGTGAATGTAGGTGATTCAGAAGAATCCGAAGGTGAGAAGAAGGAGGTTACGCTTGATGATTTCGAGCTGCCTGATAACTTCTCCCAGTTGGTTAAGTTCGGCAAGCCTATACAAGATGAAACAACACTCGTGCATCAAGGTAGAACAAGGCACCGGGAAAGCATGCCTGATCACCATTTCTCCCTTTATACAGTTCTGGTGGCAGCACCTCGGTTGGACCTCAAATATTTCACCTCAAGCACCCGTTTACTAGTGTTATTGGTCAAAATGTAGACCCTGAGTTGTTGGATCAATTCCACAAGTGGTTATACAACGGTACCGACACAGGTCCAAAGAGGTTAGGTTGCACAATTTGACACTTTTATTCCAGTATTCATCTTTTACACATCCACTTCATTCAACAATTATTTTTTAATTTCTATTTGTTTATATAGGAGGAAGGCTCCGTATTCTATAAAGGACAACCAAATTAAGCCATGGTTGGATCTTGGAGTTGAAAAGGTTGACAAGAAGGAGTGGTTCTTTTCTCTTGCACACCCAGGACAAGTCCTTAATGACTCAGTAAGATTCAATATATTTAATTTGTAGATATTTTGTAGAGAAATTGTAGATAGTTTGTATTCTAAATGAATAGATGCTTTATATTTCTGATTGTAAATGTATTGTAGTTATTTGTAGTTTTGTGTAGAATATTTTGAGATAACATGTAGAATAAATGCAATCTGTTTTTGTTTGCAGTACATTAATATTATAATGTATTACTTGAGAAAAAAAGGCAAGTATGACCCCTACAACAACACCATATTTACTACAACAGATTGTGTGTTCAAGACTAGGATTGATCAGATTTATGAAAAGTTCAAAAATTCTCCTCAAGAAAAGAAGTTTTCTATTGTCAAACTCCAGGATGTTGTAGCAGAATATATATTGGGCTATAGACTACTTACAAATGTTGCATGGGATGAAGTAGACTATGTCATCATGCCCATCAACATTGTAGAAAAATTTCACTGGGTGTTGGTTGTTTTTGACATTGCAGAAAGGTGTCTTTATGCGTATGATTCCATGGTCTCTTCACACAATCACTCTATTGTTGAATCTTGTGCCGACAAGTTTTCTATTATTATCCTTTTGTATTTGTCATGCACCGGGTTTTATGGGAAGCGTAAAAATATCAACTTCAAGAATACAAAAACATACATTGAGAAACCTGTTACCGACCTTCTTAACATTCAGTGGATCATCGGAGAGATACCACAGCAAAAGGAAGGATCACTGTAACAAAAATCTTCTTTCTTTCTTTACATTTAACCCTTTTTTTATGATGGTTGGATAAATGTTGACATTTTTTATCTTTTGCAGCGATTGTGGTGTATTTGTTGCTGCCTTTGCAGAGTATGTTAGTATTGGAGAATTATCAATTCCGACAGAAGATTTTTCTGATATTGACCAACACTGTAGATGCTATGGAGCGCTGCTTTGGGATTATGCTAGAAAGAAGCAAGAGATTGGGGCAATTAGTGATAGTGAGGTGACATGCAAATTTGCAAGAAGGAAAGGTGCACCAACTTTGAATGAGAAAACAAGAGTCCAGAGGAAGAAGAAGTAATTGTAACGTTTGGAATGGAACATGTATTACAATTGTGTAGATGATGCTAGTTTATAAGATAGATGGTAGACAAGTTTTTAAACAATTTATTATGCTTTAATTGTAGCAGACTTGTGCTACAATTATATTAGCCTTTGTTTCTTTTTTCTTATCTAGTATAGTAGTACAAATAGTAACAGTTTGTTGGGTTTATATTCACTTGTTGAATATGTACAGTACTTGATCTTCATTATTTTTAGCATTCAAATCCTTTGCAACTGAAATTTTATACAGTTATTCTGATCTACATTATTTTCACCATAAAGATTCTTTTTACCTGAATTTTAATCTATATATTATGTCAGCTACATATATTGTAGTTATATTTGTAGATAATTTGTAGAATATTTTAACAGTGTGTTTTGTTTCTTTTATATTCATTTTTTCAATGTAAACAATACTTCATCTACAATATTTTAAGTGTTTAACTACTTTCCTACAGATTTATAATGTATATACTCTGTAAATTCCAGATAATGTATTTTTTGTAGTTTTATTGTAGATAAACTACAAAAACACATTAACAACTATGTAAAGTATTCCATATATAGTAAAAAAGTTATAGATTATATATATAGAAAATATTCATAAACAAATCAATCTATGAAAGTATTATCTCAGTATAGAAACATCCTAACTAACTACATAATGATCTTAAAAAAAATAACGATTACACATCAAAATCTGTTATCCAGAACTAACTAACAAATTTTATGAAATATTCTGTTAACTACATAAATTTTATTTCATTTTGGGTGCATTCTTGCAAGATCTTTTGTTATGCCCTTCTCCTCCGCAGTTGCCGCATAAAACCTTGTACTTCTTTGAATTTATTTCATCATATGTTTTGTATCTTTCTTTTTGAGGTCTTCCTGGCTGCCTTTTCCCTCTTTTAGGTGGATTTACTACTTCTTCAGTTATATATTGTGGCACATTTCATTTACTCTCATCAGGCAGCGGATTTACTGATATTTCATACGTACGCAAGAGGTTTACCCTTGTGTAATAAAGAGAACAATATTCTTAAAAAGACTCATCCCTTTGTCTTAAAGCAGCCAAAACATGTGGACAAGGTAGTTCATCAAGCTGGAATTGCCCACAACTACATTTCTTCTTTTCAAGACAAACAATATAGCGCCTCACACCATCTATTACTGTATGGATGTAGTCTGTTGAAGCCCTCACCTACGAGTACATTACAAACAAAAAAACAATTCATATATGGTTAAAATCAAGCTATATACAAAATATCTACATTTTGCTGTTTCTGAATTTGATTCAATATATAATCAGATCTTACTCTAAGCTTGTGTGACAATGTTCTGTTGTCATCTAACTCTTTGTTGAATTTGTATCCAAGGTATGTGAATGTACCCTTTGCTTTCAATAATGTTTCTTTCATCCAACGTTCAAGAAGGGTCCTCATATACTCTAATATTTCTACTATCAGCAGCTCTCTTGCATATTTTGTTACAGCATTCAACGACTTTGCAATGTTTGATGTCATAGTCTAAGTTCTGTTTACCGTAGCATGTACTCGAGACCATCTATGATATCCAATATCGTATAAGTATGCTTTAACACGGGGGTCAATCTCCTCAATCTTTGACATCCTTTCATTAAATGCATCAAGTGTGTATGACCGCGCCGTGGCAAAGTATAATTTACTTAGCTTAAGATGTCTCTTCTTGAACTTTGCCCGTATATTTGTCCAAATATGTCACATGGAAGAATAATATGGCAAGTCGGGATAAACAATAGATGTTGCCTTCAAGATACTCTCATTCTGATCCGAAATAACACACATATTTGGTCTTTCACCATATGCGAGCTTGAATTGCTCAAAAAAACCACTTCCATGATGTGTCATTCTCTGAATCAACAACAACATATGCCAATGGTAATATTATACCTACATTATACGACAAGAAGCAATTAATTGGCTGCAGTAATTCTGTTAAACATTATCACAAGGAAACTGAAGAACTAAAAAATTACAAATAAACTACAAAATTAGAAAAATAATAATCTTTGACTATTCATATGTTCATACCTTCTAGCACTAGATCTTTTAACCCTGAATTGGAACTTGTGCATAACAGAATAGTGCTTTATTGCAGTTGTAATTGTTTTCTTGTCTTGGTATACTTGTCCTACTTCAATAGAACTTGGTGTACTATCTGTTATTATTATACTTTCATATTCGTCTATAACGAGAGATGTTGGCACATCAAGTAACTTTAGTATTCCAGATGAACCTGCATGAAAATAAATATAAATATTGCTATCACCAGTTTGTAGAAAATTTGTAGATAATTTGTAGAAAGGTTGAAATTAAGTATTTCATATTATTTTTCAAATTTTTTGTAGTTTTAATGTAGAATAAATGTAGAAATTTTGTCNATATATATACACACATATATATAGTTTATTTGTAGATAAAATGTAGATAATTTGTAGTTCATTTACAAATTACCATAATTTTATAGAAAAAATAACATCACACACCTGCAGCTGTGTTCTCATTTGTGATACTCAATTCCATATTGAAATCGGGAACAGTTCTCCATATATACACGAACACCCATATCGTTCCTAATTTCCATTGGAGGACAATGCTCGTTGACAATGTATTTGATTTCTATAATTTTTTTCCGATGTATAAATCATTAATTGATGTGCTATTATAGAAATCAATAGAGTGTAACTCGCATCGTCATCGACTACAATGCCATCGACCTCGAATTCTCTAAATCGACCAAAGCTATCCCAATTCACATTTGATTGTAGCATAATTGATATTTTCGCCATAATTGCTTTTGTTGCAGAAGAATTGTAGAAGATTTTGTCGATTTTGATTTGTGAAATCAGAGAAAAAGTTGAAACAGAGTCTATCTCTAAAACAGAGTACGAAAATTTTGTAACGAAGTCGACGATAGTTATACTGTGCGTGATTTGTGTTGTGAAAGATCTGAAAAATATTAAATTCCTCTTTTTAAGTGCGCCTAAATAAGGAATCCTACAGCTACAATGATTCTTTATTTAATGATTGTATATATTATGTAGAAATACTATTAACATGAAGGGCAATATGCAAACTATGAACATATTTGGTAATATAGTTTCCTATATGGTATCGGAACGAAAATTTCCCTTCCCCAAAAGACTTCACACCATTAAAATTATCCAACTTATTTTTCATGTGAGTCTTTGTTCACACACACCCAACAATTATGTTAATTGCTAAACCCGATGTACTTTGATGCGATTGACTTTTTCATATATCTTAATTTAATGGAAAGAATCCGTGATTATCACACCTTATTTAGAGGAGAAGATCTTTTCAAAGTAAGGTGGCATCTAGGGGCGGATCCACCCTATGGGTGGGGGTGGTGTGGCACCCGCTCGGTTGGAAAAATTATCATATATTTATGTGTAAAAGAATTTAAACTAGGTTAAATATATGATCCTGCCACCCTCATCCGCAAACTAGACAAATGTGTCATGACTGGTAAATCTTTTTAAAAGCTTTTCTCGTGTGTAAAATTCAAGTTCGAATTTATCTTGAACCTTGTCTGACTTTCCCTTTCGTTATGTTTTTTTTTCTCCCAGTCATTTTCCTGTTTGGCTACCTCCCAATTTCCTATTTGTCGTTTATTATTTTTATTTTTTTCTTCTATTCTATTACTTTATCTGTGATATTTAGCAAGAAGTACACTCAAAAAGAACCTCCAAAATTTAAATTTTTTTATAATATAAGCAATTCTCTTAATCTCAAATCTTTTAGTTTTCTTCTTTCAAAATCAAAAAACTTGGGTCTTGATATTTAGATTGAGATCAAAATTAATTTATAATTTCTTTTATTTATTATAACATAAAAATTTATGTTATTCTATGATTGTTAAATACAATTTAAATCTCTTCAGTAATAAATTATGATGAATATTTCACAAGCATTAGATTTATGATTTTAAGTATTGAGATCTTGTAGTTTATGTAATTCTGCATCTACTTATGGGGTATAATTTATCTATTGAAGATGTTTTCATTTTTATTTTTCTTATTCTGATCGGTGGAGTTCCCTTATTAAAGATTCTAGTTTACCTGAGCAAATTTATTTTTAGCATACAAAAAAATGTAGTTTCCTAGTGAAAATATTGATTTTACTTGTATTATTAATAATAAAAGTGTGATTCCTTCTTTAAAATGTTAATTATATTTGCTTCTTAATGTCTAAGATGTAATTTTCATACGACAATAATAACATATATACCCAATGAAATTCCATAAGTAGGGTCTGGAAATTGATGTAATTTTTATATTTGCAAATAAAGTGCTTATTAAATTACCCAAATAAACTTAAAATATGAATTGGACAAACGTTCCAAACAAACTATATATTAGTAGTTATTGTAAGGTGTACATTAAAAGAAATTTTGGTACCAGCCATCTTAAAATCCTAGATCCGCCTCTGGTGGCAGCCCAAAACATCTCATTAACTTCTCTTTTGTGAATAACTTCCTTTACACTGCATAAGTGTGTAAACCGTAGTAGCTATAGCACGTCAAGAAGATATTTTCTTTAGAAGAAAAAACAAACAGCAAAAGAGAAAAATATGAGAAATATATATTTTTAGCCGCTCCCAACAATAATTATAACCGATAAAATATATATATATATATATATATATATATATATATATATATTATACATATTTTATATATTTTTG